ACCCCAAATATGAAAAATCAGATCCAGCATGGTGGCTCATGCCTGTAATTTCAGCCCTTTGGGAGGTCAAGGCAAGTGGATCACTTGGGGCCAGAAGTTAGAGACCAGCCTGGACAACATAGAAAGAGTCTATCCCTATGAAAAAATGTAAAAATTAGCCAGGCATGGTGGTGCACACCTATAGTCCCAGATACTCAGGAGGCTAAGATGGGAGGATACCCTGAGTCTGGGGATTTGAGGCTGCAGCGAGCTACAATCACACTGCACTTCAACCTAGATGACAAGGTAAGACCCTGACTCAAAAAAAATTAATATTGCCTCTTGCCTCTTTTATAAGAAGGAGTATATCAAATCTTGTGGTTATACTGAAATAAATAAAACATTTAGAACTACTTTAAGGAGTTATAAAAATTCTCCTTTAGACACAGTAGAAAGCAAAGTATGATCTTGTCTCTGTCTTCAATTGATTTAAAATGCCCAGAATATAGGAATGGGCAAGTTGAATTGTAAGAGTTGGAATGGTGAGAATTGGGAGCCATAAGAACAAACACAGTAAAAATGTTTCCTCCAAGCAGAAAGTACGTGAAAAGTCTATTATTACTACCATTCTTAATGGATGCTTTTAAGAGTTAAGGTATTTTGTTGCATCAAAGTGATACATATTCTAGTTAACTAATTAGCTGGATTAGTTTATATAATCTTAACACCTGCTGTTACTAGCAGAGGTTCTGAGGGGGCAGAACTAAAAATATGTGTGTTTTGATACGCAGAAAGAAGTGAAAACATGGTAGATTTGTGCGAAGTTGTGGCAAGGAACTCTAAACAAAGAAGGAGTTTTCAGGGGGAACTCGGGGGAGAGAAGTGCCATCTTCAGAGGGGGAAAGAAATTTGGTTTATTCCATAGTTGTTGAATAGGCTCTGCCTGCCAGATCGCTAGATAGTAAACTAATTGTACTTCATCAATTGTTCTAATATAAAATAAAGCAGCAAATTATTTTAAATTTTTCATGACACTCTTTGACACTGTCAGAATATTGTTTCAAAAAAGATAAAACTATGTAGCATTGATTTTATAAACAAAAATATTAGTTAATACATAACATTTTAACCATAGCCTCCACAAAGGATTACCAATAGAAAAATGTAAGTGAAATGAATATGTAAGAAATTGAAAAATATGAAAAATGAATAAACTTCACTAGAGCCATCTCTCAGGGCATTTCATTTCTTCTAAGTTTGTCTCTTGAGGAATACTATTGTTGAATAAATCCATGAGTCAAGCAAAAGTACAAAAGTCAAACTCTTTCCTCAGTTTCCTTCTATTACCTTCATTGTAACAGCTGGTGAAGTCCAAACAACCGAATCCTCCCAAGATATTCAGTTGGAAACCACAGTCAATAGCATGTCACTAGATCTGTATTAACCGCAAGACAATTTCACTAGAGGCTATGCCTGTTATAATGGCAAGATATTTAGAAATGGCAGGCATTGAAGCAATAATGGGATTTGTTGTTCTAATCAGTTTGTGAAATGCTGTCTGGAAGATGTGCTTTATAAAATACATAGTATAGGCCAGGTGTGGTGACTCACGCCTGTAACCCCAGCACTTTGGGAGGCTGAGGCAGGCAGATCACAAGGTCAGGAGAGCGAGACCATCCTGGCCAACATGGTGAAACCCCATCTCTACAAAAAATACAAAAATTAGTTGGGGGTGGTGGTGCACACCCGTAGTCCCAGCTACTGGGGAGGCTGAGGCAGGAGAATCTCTTGAACCAGGGAGGTGGAGGTTGCAGTGAGCTGAGATTGCGCCACTCCACTCCAGCCTGGCAACAGAGCAAGACTCTGTCTCAAAAAAACAAACAAACAAACAAACAAATAGTATAAACTATAAAACTGTAGCTCAGAAGCAGTTTATTTCCTTACAAGAGAGAAAAGAATTAGTACTTTAAATGACTTTAATCTACCTTTACCTATCATAAACCTCAGATGATTTATTCTATTGCAATAAGTTAAAATGGTCACAGATTTCCAAACCGATAACCCCTTTCCACACACAGCTGTACACATATACCATTTTGAGTGACTTACTTCTCTTTAAAAATGCTGTTAAGATGTTTATAGTTAGTTCTTCAGGATTACATGTTGAGCCAGGATTATAAATATGTATAAATATGCAGATGCTCTATCGAATGTTCCTTATCTCATTTGTATTTCCAAAGTTGTGTAAGATAACCTCTGTGGCTTTCAAAAACATCTTGTCACACCCCAGGGGGCAAATTATCTCTATTTTCATTTCCTTTAAAGTTAGATCATTTTATAATTAAAAACTTATTGAAGCAGATTCTCCCCACGTGTAAGCTACTCCCTGGGGAGTAATTTATGCAAAGAGAACCTTTGACTTAATATTATATAAGCCAAAAACCATACGATGGATACCTGAGATTTTCAGTCAATTTTATAATCGCTATAAACGATCCAACATTTGAAAAGTTATTGCTAAAAAAAAAAACCTGTAGTACAAATGACTTGCAGTGTCATTCATTAGATTATTTTTAAATGAAAAGATCTTTGATAAAGGAATAATAATGTGGCTTGTCATATTTTGTGTCCAAAAGTTTTAGAAAACCAGTTAACAAGGATGATTGATGTGATGATGATAATGATAATGAAGACTAACATTTCCTAGCTCCTTAACCATTTTACAAGGTGCTTCACGTAAAATATCTATCTGATCCTCCCACATCTATGAAGTTTGTCAGTTATGCTTTACAAACCAGAAAACATAAGATCAGATATTTTATCTTGGCCGTGGCTCCCATCATTAGCAGACTAAGGACTGGAGTCCGGAAGGACAGAATAGAATAACATCAAATCTCATAGTTTTCTCCTATCACAAAATCTTGAAAACAAATACTAGCTCACGTAATCTAAAAGCTAAAATAAAAAGAAATGAAAAGAAACGTATACTTAGTCTCCTAAGTATTTTAGGTGACTTTGTCTCTTCTGACGCTGTTTGTCTTTAGCTCTTTAGCTGGAGCTATTGGAGAAATACAGGAATTTAAAACTGTAATCTTTTTTTGTCTGTGTGGAGGTCAGAGAATGGTTACTGAATGAAGTATCAGGATATTTAGCTAATTTCTGGTTGTCAATTCCCAGTTCAACTCAAAAGCAGAATTTAACCTGTATCCTCAATTTTTTCACATGAAAAATAGGCACATAACACTGAGGTATTTTTGCTTACAAAGATGATTTGAAATTTCTGTGAAATATTTACTTTTTTAAAAATGTAATGTACTACCCTAAAGCTAAGTATTGTCTTTTTTAAAAAATGTAAAATAATAAGAAAAAGAGGGCAATGTCTTGCATTTATTTGTTTTGTATATTCAAGAGTGAGAAACTGTAGAAAAGCATCCAAGTGGCAGATTGATATACAAAGCATTTTGAAGTATATTTTGCATAATTATTTTAAATTGGAAGAGGAAATAGCAGATCTTCTAGTGTGTGTAATTTTAACAACTCTTAGAATACTATCAGACATAGGAATCACTACATTCTAAATAAATTTTATCTCATGGATTCATCCATAACCTGTGTGCTGATTATTTAAAATCATCTTACCAAGAGGTTCTATATACAGGACATTACACCAAATTGCACACATAGAAAATAGAAATCCCATGCCCCACCGTATTCCGCCAAAGTAATTGCCTTACCAACAACCCCATTTCTGTCAAACCTACTACTTTATCTCAGCCTCTTAGCTAGGAAGCTAGGAGTCACCTTTGACTCCCCATTTCCACATCTGTTCCCTTTTTTAATTATATAGTCTAGCTTTTGCCTTTGAACCATCTTTCTATTTATGTCTTCCTCTCCATTTATCCTGCCACTGATGTAATAAGCCATGTTTTTACCTCCTAACACACAAGTTAGAAGTAATCTTTAGTTGATCTTCCGCTTGTTTATGGGTAGCCTGCCAAACTCACCTTTCTAAGGTGAGTTACTTTCATCATTTCTTTACCCTGTTCACTTCGTTGATTCCTTATGGCCAGTGAGATCAGGTGAAAAACCCCGCTACCTAACCCCAGGAACTCCATAATCTGGCATCATCCCTCTAGCCAATCATCTGACCTAAATTTGCATTATAGCCAAGTTATTGTCTCAATGATCACAATCCACAATCATCGCAGGCCTCCAATCTTTTTTCATTTCCCTTCTGTCTACAGAAATGCCCTTTGCCTTTCCCTTCAGCCTAACTAAATCCTTCAGAATCAACAAAAATCTTCAGAATCAACAAAAATGCCTTCATCTCCAATGAAACGATTTCAGTTTGTATTGAATTCATATTTAGTACCCTCATAATTCATCCTGATTTCTCCTTGTATTAATTTTATTTTATTAATTAGATTATTTGTATAATTAGCATATCTTATCCTCCATCAACAGCCTTTATTACCTTAGAGAACATATACAGCATGGTCAATAAATAGTGGACTGATTTATTATTGGCATTTTTGTAAGTAAATATCCAGCCACACAATGTATAAAGCTACCATGCACTGCCCCATCCCATAGTTTTGCTTTATTTATGTATTTATTTTAAATATCACTGAGATAAGGCTATGTGAAAGCTCTCAGTAACTTAATGTTTCAAGTGCAAAATAAGAAAAGAAAAGCCGTGGGTTCAAAGGCTTTTTGAGTCCCACTATTTTTAAGGCCAAGTTCACAAAGGAGAAAACAGTGAATGCAAGACTTTGGAAAACTGGTTCTGGTTATATTTTTTTAGTTTGAGAAAAACAAAGCAAACAATGGCGGAGAAATGTGCTTTGACTTAGAAGAAGTTTAGGACAGCCATGCAAATACTAGTGGATGACTCCCATACCACCGCCCACACCCAGTATTTTCAAATACAAACATCAAGGCAGAGATAGATGGGGAGATAGGAAGAGTGAAAGGAGAAAGAAAACTTTTGTATGTTCAAAATGTGTATTTTCTCCTTTCAGCACAAATTGAAGTGATACCATGCAAAATTTGTGGCGATAAGTCCTCTGGGATCCACTACGGAGTCATCACATGTGAAGGCTGCAAGGTATGGGACTTTCAGACCGCACGGTTTTGTATTTGCCTCAGGCATCTGTGTACCTCACAAGACGAGGTGACACCTTTTTCAGGAAGGCTTGCTAAAGGATCCTTCTGCCTGCTGCTGACATTCAGGAATTCTCGCGTGGTGGGTGGGAGGGTTGATTTTCTGTTCTTTCGCCTTTTACCTTTTTGTTATTGTCTAACTGGTCAGCAGCTCTTTAAAAATGGATTCGTATTTAAAACCTTGAATTATTCACATTTACAGAGATATAAATACTGACTCTTGCTGTTTTAGCAGTATTGTCTCCAGTAAATTCCAAGGCACTTATTACTATGTGAAAAAACTAAAGGTTAAAATAAAGATTATAAACTGATAAGTACATATTTATCTGCTTGAGAAAGAGGAAGTGAAGGTAACAGCTACAATATGCATATGGCCATCCTTTATTCTCACATTACAGGAAAAAAAAAAAGAAAGAAAGAAAAGAAAGCTGGAAGCATGGTATGTTAGAAGCCAACAAGATTATCTCTAAATCAACTAAAATTCACCTACCCCCCACCCACCCCTTCATTTTCCAATGAGGTCCTGAGGTATAAACAAGATTATGTCATCTGATCAACATCATTGATTCAGACAGTGAAGAATAGAGCATGGCCAAAAACACAGGGTTTTTCAGTCTCAATCCAGCGTTCCACTTCCAGACAGATTCCACCTACCCTTCCCGTGGCAAACTAATTCCTGTAAGCAAGTTGCTCTCTTAAATAAAGAGCTGGAGGAATAGCAGTAAACGTAGACTGAATCTGAAATAAAAGAACTTTGAAACTTAACAGTAAGTTTTAATAATGAATCCTTAGAAGGAAAGAAAGTGAGTGTGAGAGACGTAATAGCCAGGGAAAATCTAAACAGTTCTATAGCTATAGTTAAAGGACCATGTGTAAACAGAACAAATAAAATGCAGCCACGGTCTGGGAGGGAAAGGTAATATGCTGGTAAAGTTATTGGCAAGAGCAATTGTGTTTTTGATCAAAGATGCAAGCAAAGTGAATTATTCGTTTAAGATCAGTAAACTGAAGGAGGGGTAGTACAGTCATAGAGTCTAAGATCTAATCTTAATCTTAAACAGGCTTTCAAATGTACACAAGGCAAAACATACTGTAACTGTCAAATACTGGTACTGTGTGATAAATTGACAGTGTCTTCATAATACTCTCAAAAAGGCGTGAGTCCTGGAATTAAAACCGGAGTGAAGAAAAGGAAATAAATAAGAATAAAGTGGGAGAGGGAAGAAGAGGGAGCATATTAACATACTAACCTGTCAACACACTGCTGTACTTTAAAGATGATTAGTGATAATCTATTTGTGAATATCATGAGCTGTTCTTTGCATTCTGTTCCTCTGCAGCCCTATAATTAAGAATTGCATGTTATCCACTTTAATGCAATTTTTCAACTCATCAAGAATAAACAAGAAATCAAAATTATGTCAGCAACTTTTTACCCTCCTTGAATAAGTTATTACATCCTCTAGGCAGAGAGACAAATAGTTTTCTTCATAAACAATAATAAGTTAGGAGTCAGAATCTTCTCCATTGAAAGTATTTCTACCATTATATTGGCTTGTTATGCAATCTTGAGAGCTCTGGTTTACATAATAGCTACTAAAACTGATTTTTAGATCAATGTCAAAATGGAGATGTTTGGCATTTGATTGTGTAAGCTCTATTTGAAAAATGTGTGATTTCAAAAAATGGGGATATGTTCAGGTTAAAAAGCAAAATATTTTAAACAGTAATTTCCAAAAGATATAACTAATGTGCAAATATAACCCAACAGGCCAATAGCCAAGAACAAGTGTCATCTTTTCTATGTAAAGGAAGAATCCACAATTAAAGAAATTATGTTGTTATTATGAAACATACTCTGAGGTTTTAGTTAAAATGGCACTATACACCACACTATTTTTTTAATTCATGGAAAAACTCACATTTGTATATATGCTACAATTTTCTGCAAATAGAAAACTTCAAAATTCTCTTCAGAATTTGATGTCAATGTCAGCACATTCAGTATCAACCTCTGAGTTTTCATAATGCTGTTTTCAAGTCAACATAAACAACCCATTCTGAATAACATCAATTCAGCTTGTGCACTTATTCAAATTTCTATTCATTCAATAAAATTTGGAACACAATCTCTCTTTCATGCCAAAAACCTCATTTGCAATAATGAGCAACAGATAAGCAAGAAACGTGTCGTAATTAATGTCAAATTGGTCTTAAATTAGGGCTGTAGCTGTGACTTCAGAAAAGTCTTTTCTGTCCTGTCAACTCTTTTGCTAAGTAGCACTAGAGTATCCAAAGATAAAAACCACACAATTCTGTCTTAAAATGTAAATTTCAAGTCATCTTTAATCAAGACTGATGGGCTGAGGTTATGCTTTCTGACAGTTTTCACAGTATATAAAGTACATCATTTCAATCCCTGGGGGCTTATGTTTGATCTCTATTCTAAGATGCTCCATGAATTCAGTCAAACTGGACAGTCAGGTGTCTCATTCTGCCATCACTGGTTTATTAAATAAGGAACGCACGTGTATGTATGGGGATGAAACTAGTCCTTGTTGTTGAATGGCGAAGCCAGTTGGGACTCTCTCTCTGAGGAGATCCTCGACCACACCTCCATGTTTGAGATTCCTCACAGACTGACTAAGCTCTCTTCACCAGTGCCATGCTGAGCCATATTGGAGCTCAAGACAAAAGGAAAATCAGTAACACAGATCCTTTCTTTAAGTTATTGGGTATTTTTGCATTAATGTTGTTTTTTAACACATTATGTTAAAATATTGTATTTTCTAATTACAAAAATTTTAGGTGACCTTTAAATGTTGTGGGCAAAGTGTTTGCCTCACTAGGCTCACCTAGCCCTGGCTCTGCTTCTTCCTGTAGATAGTTGAGAAAACAAAGAAGCTGTTTGAGGGAAGTCAGAGGATCTATTCTAGGCTTCTCTGCAAGATAGGCATTGAATCTACCATTCCTGAACTTTTCTAGACTTCCTCCTTCCAAAAGATGATGCTGTGGGATATCTTTTCCCAAAATTTGTCTTAGAAAGCTTAATGTAGACCATCATTTTGCTCATGATACATTACACTTTTCCTTTTTTCTCTAGACAATTCAAGAGCAAAGAGTGATTAAGGAAATCGATTACATGAGTCAATGAATGGATGAATGATAACTTAATCTATCTCTGGAGAAAATGCTTATTTTCCCCAATAGAGTTTTCTATAAGACAACTAAGGAAAAATTTTTTAAAAAATCAACTCAGCTGTGGATTTATTTAGAGAAGCAGTGTGTGGTCACTGGCAGTTCATTTTGTACCTGATGAACCCAAATGTACTTGCATGAAGACATCTTACACCGAGTAACCTGAGGCCAAGTAGAGACCATTCATTCAGGTTTTACTTAATACTTTTTGTTGTTGAACAGCTTATATATAATATTTTCTTTTTTCAAAAGTATGGTTGATTATTAAAAACAACTTTCCAGACCCAGCCACGGTGCACACACACACCTGTAGTCCCAGCTATAGGTTGAGGCAGGAGGATCACTTGAGTCTAGGAGTTTGAGGCCACAGTACACTATGATCCTGCCTGCAAATAGTCACTGCACTCTAGTGTGAACAACATAGCAAGACACCTCAAAAAGATAGAAAAATAAAACACTTTTCAGCTGCATTCTAGCCAAATTCAAAAACTTTGTGGTGGGGGAAAACACATCTTAGAAACTAAGAAAACAGTAGCACATACTCCTCAGTGTTGCTTTTTCTTACCAATACCTCAAGTTCCTCACCACCACAGCACTTGATACAAGCCTATGTGATTGTCCCCACCAAGTTCTGTCATGTTTAGTTTAGAACTCTCCTTTGCTACTCCTTCCCCGCTGCTCTTTGCGGGACAGAAACTTCTGTTTATTTCTGCATAGAACAGCACAGCTGCAAATGTCTTTAGCAAACATTTATTCAAGGAATGAATGAATGAGTGAATGGGTAAATGAATGATACCCTCATATCTCTGCAGATAGCATCTATTTTCCCCAGCAGAAATATCTGCAAGCCATATGAGAAGAGGTATCCAAAGAGCTTTAAAAATTAAACTCAGTTATGTTCACTGCAGAAAATGTAGCAAATGTATATGTTAATGTTCTCTGTTTCCCTTCTTATAAACCTGTTTCTCTCCCCTTCTCTTTTTCCTTCAAGGGATTCTTTAGGAGGAGCCAGCAGAACAATGCCTCTTATTCCTGCCCAAGGCAGAGAAACTGTTTAATTGACAGAACCAACAGAAACCGTTGCCAACACTGCCGACTGCAGAAGTGTCTTGCCCTGGGAATGTCAAGAGATGGTAAGGCATTACATTTCTGTTTCTTACTTAAGCCCTTTCAAATGGATGCTTTGCTGGAGTCTATTTAAGCTGCTGGAAGAATTCTAGACGAGGGAATTGGGGATAAGAAGAAAAGAAAATCATCGTGCTGGTAGTGCATTAAAAGGAAAAGTAAGAATATACAAAAAGAGAGCATTGCCTATGAAATAAGAAGAAAGTAAAGACTTTACTGTAGCTCATGGAGCAACTTGTGCTAACTAGGTTTAGCAGAGGCCACATAGGCCTAGGTTGAAGGTGACCATCTGTCTAGGTTTGCCTGCAAATGAGGGATTTCCTGGGACATGAGACTTTCAGAGATAATGCCCAAAAGTCCTAAGCAAACCAGGACCACATCCGAGTATGTTCACTGGGTAGGTCTGACTGGGCTTGCTTACTGTGTGGAGACACTAAGGAATGGCATATGCTTCTATGGGAAGCCTGGAAGTCCTGCTGGCTGGTCATAGCTACCCAGAGGAGGAACTGGACTATCTGAGCCCATAATGAAGTTTCCAAAGACTAGAGCGAAGTCCAAGTCTTGGAAGGGCTGTGTAGGTGATGTCCTCCTCAGAATATGATACCATCTGCACTCCAACTTCACACCTACCCACACTGAATTGCTTGGTTTCCTGAGGGAACATCTTAGAGTAATGAAAGAGGACAAATGAACTCAAACAAGATGAACGAAGAATTTCACCTAGCTTTGTTTCCATTTTCAGTCATTCATCCAAAGTAATTCTTTCCCTGTTGACATTGGACACATCACCCCTGTGTCATACAGTGAGTGGTCCTGAGTTCTGGGGCCATTTCTGTCTTGTTCCCACTAAAACATCAGGCTCTGCTTAAAAGCAAACACCTAAATGTTTATTGAATGAACAATGGAAATCCCTTCTACCTAGAGACTAAGACATAGACAATGCCCCGACACCTTCTGTTTTTATGTCAATCACCGTGGATTCTGCGCATCTGGTCGCACACCCTCTGGTGAAATTCAAGGCTGTATAAACACACACAAAACAAGAAACTTCCAAGTTTTAAAAAGATGTGAATAATTGGCATGCATTTAGTATAAAGGGATTTCATGAGTGATTAATTAGATTCTTTACCTTTTCTCTAATTCCCAATCCATCCAAATTTGTCCTGCACAAAAGTACACCTATAAAATAAATTTGACCAAAAAAAAAAAAAAAGAATCTGACCTGAAACCCTTCAGTTTTTAGGTAGCTTCTAAAGCTACAGAGACGAGGTTTCCAAAATTTTTCTATTAACTGACTTTTTTGTTTTATTTGTTTTACTTGACTCACTAACTACATGTATTTACTCCTAAGATAAATTTATAGCAATGGATACTTCTGTATAATCAAGGCAAAAAAATTAAGAGAGAGGATTGAGTAGTTTCGGATACTTATTTGGTATAATTATATGGGAATCTCAGTTGATGATTTTGTACTTCATTTCTACCATATGGCAGTAGGTAACACATTAATTCAGTGTCCTAAAAGCCCCATTAATAATTGTGCAGAGATAAGCCATAGGGTATTTGTTTTTGTTACTTCTTCCTACACTAAAAGGAAGTATCTTTCTGGAAGGGCAAGTCTGTGTCTGTGCTGGTGAACAGAATTATGGGCAAGAGATGAATATATGACCCAAGGCAGATTCAGCAGATTTAGTGACATCAGCCCACAAAATCTAGACGGTCTGAATCCCATAACATAAAAGAAATGTGTCAGGAGGATGGGAGGGTCATTTGACAGAGCCACAATTTATGCTTAATGAGGAAGGAATTCATTGCAGCACATAAACCTCTATGCAAATAAAAGCAATATAGTGTCTAAGGACACTGAGGATTAAGAATGATTCATTTCAACTTTAGGTCCAGAGACAATCCTGAGGCTGTCTGGGACATCTTCAAAAATGCCTCCTAAGCACATCTTATGTGAAATTTATCATGAGGAGAAATGGTCAGGGGTGTGGGTGGGGTGGGGAATCTGGAGAAGAAGGGGCTCAAGCAGATGGGTGGGGTGGGGAATCTGGAGAAGAAGGGGCTCAAGCAGAAGAGAAAACAAATGATTCTCTATAAGAGAAAAAGCTGCCTCTTCACTATATCACACAGAGAAAGTTTGGTCTGAATCTTAATTAGAACGGGTGCCTCATGCCAAGTAAATTATGCTAATACCAGGGAAGCCGAATAGGTTTTCTCTCCTATTGATAAGTATTGCCTAGTATGTAGTATTGAACGATTCAAAAGCCCTGAAATTATGGTTGATTACCTATGTCTAGTAAGGGGTCAAGAATGAAAGGCCCGGTTATTTCTGAATCAGAAGAATCCCTACCTTCTTCTGATTCAGCAAGTATTTTTAAAGTGCTTTAGAAATTGTACCAATAGCCAAAGTGAGATGCCCTCATACCTAACTGCTTTCTACAGCCCCCTGCTTCCCTCAGAGATAAAGTGGCATCTTCATTTTGGTATATGCATTTGCTCTCTGTCGATTAGGCTCCAAGAATGTTTATTTCACCATACCTGGCTGTTTACTGTGGCCACTAGGAGACAGCTTAAAATAACTGTTGAAAACACTGGATTTTCATTCTCTCCTGAAATTTCACTGCTATATTGGTGTATTAGCTATCGAAAATATATCAGTAGTCATCAAATTTATCAATAATGAATTTATTCAAATTTAGCTTAAGCGAAGAATCAAAAATCAAATCCACTTGGAATACACATACATGTGTCTTTATGTGTATAAAAAGGTGAAGGCATGTGTGCATGGGTGTGTGTGTCTGTGTGTGAACTAGTAGCATGCATAAGCCCACTGAATCTTCTCTATCATTTTATTTTTTTTCTTTTTCCTACACCCTTTACAAAGGAATCTTCAGGATAACTGTTTCCAATTGTGCTACTACAAATTGATACTCACTAGAATATGTCCTCCCGAGTGGCATGTCTCTACAAAAAGACAGAAATTGCCCTAAAAGGACAGGTTTCACAGATTAAGCTTCTTCTATCCAGAACTGCATTGCCCAATCCACATGTCACTATATAAATAATTTAAATGTAAATGAATTTAAATTAAATAAAATTTAAAATTCAGTTCTTCAGTCACACTAGCTATATTTCAAGTGTTCATTAGGAGCATGCAGCTTGCAGCTACCATATTGGAAAGCACAGAGAACATTTCAACATCACAGGGAGTTCTGTTGGAGAAAAAGAGGAAGGAGAAGAGAGGGATTTTAAAATAATGAATAGGTTTAGCTAGATTGAATCAGACTTCTAATACAAAGCCTACAGCACTAAAAAAAGGGTGGCAGAAGAGGCACATCTCTGAAGCTGACAAGAGTTAAATTAAGACCAGTTTCAATGGTAAGCAGCAAAACATAAATATAGAGAACTTTACAACCAAAGGTAGTAGATAAAATAATTTTAGAAATTTATAGAAAGTCATAGATGACAGTCAGTTGGGCTCTCTTGAAACCGAAAACACATGTTCATGTGTTATGTAAATAGAAATCTTCGAAGGAGCTATGACTTTATTTTTCAAATATCAAAAACTTCCATTCCATTTAGAATACCACAATTCAAATAAATATAAAATGATTTCCAATACTTTCACATAAAATTGTTCTTTGCTATTATGGGATCAAAAGGAGGGTTAAGAGCATATCATGAGCAAATACCATCATCGTTGAATATTTATAAAGCACTTGCAATGTATACAGAATTGTGCTGGTTTCTTTAAGAGGTAGCAGTTTAACAAGAGGCTGTCTTTACAGTCAAGTGAATGTCATTAACAGAATAATTCAAGTTTGAGAGGGGCAAAGAGTTAAAATATATGCCAGTCTGATTAATATGTAGTGATAAGAAGAATGCTAATATTTGAAATATTAACATGGCCTTTGTTAAAATAGTTCTATGCATTCAACAAATGTATTTACAAATAGTGAAAATGAATTATGTTAAGAAAGTCAGTGGGTTTATTTTGGCCATGTACTGTAATTTTTTCTCAAATTTGTCACCACTGTTATTGCAAGAAGGGGCATAAAACTGAAACACTGACTCATCAATGTTTCTGAAATAAATGAAAAATTAATCATAGAATAGCATTATAGTCATTGTCAGTGAAGTCTTTGATTTAGGATTACACCTGAAATAACTCTAAAATGTAGTAGTTTTAAGTTGCTTCTTTGAAAGTATTTCAGTTGCTCAGTGATCTGATAAGTCAATTTTGTAAAAAATGCAGAGCTTTTCTTTGTTGAGTTTTTAGATGTTAACCATGGCAGAGGTCTTCACAACATACTCTTTTGACATTGTTAGCTTGTGATTATGATGTCTGTAGTTAACAGCAGATTTCTGCGTACATCAGCGGCAGGTCAGTTCTATGGCTCTGCTGATTGTAGATGGCATTGCCTGGTATGACCAAGGAGGTTTGGCTCTGCTTCACATATCCCCCAGTAAGTTTATCCTCCAACAAGATAGCTCAGGCATGTCCTTGTCATGGTGAGGTCCACAATCACACAAGCCTTTTTCAAGTCTCTGCTGTGTCACATTTGTCAATATTCCATTGGTCCACAGTAGGTCACATGACCCTGGGCAGGATGCCTGCAAAGAATGAAAGAGCACTGCAAATTGACTTGTGGAAGGGCATGGAAAGAAATAGATAAGAGGCAGGGTCATTAATGCAATCAGTCCTCCACAAAGTATATTTCACCTAAATATAGAGTAAACAGAAATCTAAAGCAAGGATTAAATGGAAAAAGGGTTTTTTTAAAAAAAAACAAAAAAACACACATTTCTGTATTTATGTTAGAAGAGTTTCTTATTCTCAGTCTTTAATTCCTATAAATTTCAAACCAATAAAATGCAAAATTACTATACTAAAATAAATCAGAAGGTAGATCTACCCTAGCTAAAACAAAAAGTCCTGATCTATAGCAGTGGATACAAACCTTGTATTCACTTCCACAACTCTACAACAAACAGCTATTCTGAACCTACCCAAATGCAAAGGGCAGAGGGGCAGCAAATACAGAGCCCTCCTTTCCTGGGGGAAAAGGGGAAGTTCTTTCTTAATCAATATTTATAGTTGTTTATTTTTTCCTATACAAAAGGTGTTTTTCCCCTAGAGAATAATATGTAATAAATTGCTTAGAAAGGTGTAATATAAAGATACAGAGGAAGTTTGCCTTACAAGTTACTGTAGAATTCGGTACATAGACAAACTGGAAATGTCACCTCAATTAGTAAGCAAATAAATTTGTCTCTGAGAATCAGAATCTAATAAAGGTAGTGTCTCTACAAACAAAGTTAAATACAATGATCTAAATAATTCAAGACCATATAAAACCAACCACTAAGATGGAAAGGGGAGTTTAGTCTGAATGAGTCAGATTGTTTGTCTTCACACAGAAAAAATTACTAGATAATTATCACTTTGTTTTCCTACTTAGGCAGCATCAGAAAGCCAGAATGTACGGTTTTTTGTTTGTTTGTTTGTTGTGTTTTGTTTTGTTTTGTTTTGTTTTTTGAGATGGAGTCTCCCTCTGTCGCCCAGGCTGGAGTGCAGTGGCTCAGTCTTGGCTCACTGCAACTTCCGCCTGCCGGGTTCAAGGGATTCTTCTGCCTCAGCCTCCCGAGTAGCTGGGACTACAAGCACATACCACCATGCCCACAAGCACATGCCACCATGCCCGGCTAATTGTGTGTGTGTGTGTGTGCGTGTGTGTGTGTGTATGTGTGTATTTTTAGTAGAGACGGGGTTTCACCATGTTAGCCAGGATGAGCTCGATCTCCTGACCACATGATCTGCCCGCCTTGGCCTCCCAAAGTGCTGGGGTTACAAGTATGAGCCACCACGCCTGGCCCCAGAATGTAGGTTTTTAAGAAGGATTAAGAAGATACAGAAAGAGTTTGGCTTCTTCAAGCCCAGCCCTCACATCCACAATCCAGCAGGCAAGAAGGAGGAAAACATGCCCCAATACCCACAAGTGAATGCGACACTTCCATTTACTTCCCGTGAATCAGAACTTAATCACCTACACACCCGCCAGTGAGGCGGATGGGGAAGTACAGTCTCCACTCTGATCAGCCTATGCTCAGATAAATATGGTAGCTCTGTACCCAATGGAAAAAGAAAATGAATTTTGGAAGAATATTGGAGGAGAAGGGTGAATGGCAGCTCTTTCAGACTGTGGGAATCTCTTCTGGGTTCCCTTTGTGCTAGAGAGTTCTTAAGCACTTCACCATTTAGATATTCTCAGAAGAGCATCAAGCCTCGTGATTGAATCCAGGAACTGAACCTTTTTCTAAACTCCATTTCCTTCTTTCTCCATTCTCTGAGCTCCTAGCACCAAGAGGTAGTGGGCATATCATCGCAAAAGAACAGAAAACAGAAACTCAGACAGGAGCCTCCAAGTTCGCCATAGCCCCCGCTATTAACATGAGCTGAACAATGCTTGATAATTCAAAGAAAGTAGGCCTGTGACTCAGGATGTTCACATCCTAAAAAGGCAGTTGACAACCTGTGAGGAGAAATGTCAATATTCACAACAGTTCAGGAGGTTAAGTATCTGAAGAAACAACACATTGAAACGAAAGCACCTTGATATTACTCTGTGACTACTTGCAGCACTTCTTCCTTCTTTTTCCTCAGACTGCCTGAGAATATTGCCAGAAGAGATAGGAAAAATAAAACTTGGGAGGGGTAGAATGAAAAAAGATAGTTACTGTTTTGATCACTTGCTGGGCATCGGATGCCCCAAATTGCTATTTTCCAAAGATTCTTATCATTTGATCCCAAAAGCCAGCTGAAGGCAAATGATGCCGTCACTTAAAATTATGTTTATCACCCAGCCCCATGCTTTTGGTCTTACCCAATACACTATTTAGAAAATCGACCTGGCCGGGTGCAGTGGTTCACATCTGTAATCCCAGCACTTTGGAAGGCCAAAACAGGAGGCTTGCTTGAGGCCAGGAGTTCAAGACCAGCCTGGGCAATGTAGCAAGGCCCCATCTCTACACAAATTAAAAAAAAAAAAAAAATAGCTGGACCTGGTGGCAAGCACCTGTAGTCCTAGCTACTCAGGAGGCTGAGGCAGGAGGATTGCTTGAGCCCAGGAGCCCGAGGTTTCAGTGAGCTATGATCATGCCATTGCACTCCAGCCTGGGCAACAGAGCAAGACCCTGTCTCTTAAAGAAAATTATTGTAAAAAGTAAAGAGAAATTTAAGAAAGAAAACAGAAAATAGATTTGAAAGTGAAATACTAGGGTCCTATCTAGCGATCTAGTAATCCTAATGAATAAAAGTTAGTTGGTTAACATTTTAATAGTGGGTACTATTGCTAATTTGGTATTTGGTTTTTTTGGTATTTGGTATTTTGGTTTTTTGCGATTTTTTTTCACAGGTAAGGAAAAAAGAGGAAAACATGCTTTCTATCTTCATGGCAATGAGAAATACATACATACGTTTTTATATTTCTTCCTGGCTTAGATTTATTTCTCACTGTGGGCATCAACCAGGACAGGAACCCTCTGAATATAACCTTTCCCCAGATGTGGCATGCAAACGAATGGGTTCTTAAGTGATGGTGCTAGACGTGTGTGCATCTGATGTTGAAGGGACAACCATCCCGTGACCCGTTGTACCTGAGGTGGTTAACGCAAATGATAACCACAAGTGCTGTTTTCTGCTTTTCTCTCCAACCCAGCTGTGAAGTTTGGGAGGATGTCCAAGAAGCAAAGGGACAGCCTGTATGCTGAGGTGCAGAAGCACCAGCAGCGGCTGCAGGAACAGCGGCAGCAGCAGAGTGGGGAGGCAGAAGCCCTTGCCAGGGTGTACAGCAGCAGCATTAGCAACGGCCTGAGCAACCTGAACAACGAGACCAGCGGCACTTACGCCAACGGGCACGTCATTGACCTGCCCAAGTCTGAGGGTTATTACAACGTCGATTCCGGTCAGCCGTCCCCTGATCAGTCAGGACTTGACATGACTGGAATCAAACAGATAAAGCAAGAACCTATCTACGACCTCACATCCGTACCCAACTTGTTTACCTATAGCTCTTTCAACAATGGGCAGTTAGCACCAGGGATAACCATGACTGAAATCGGTAAGTGGAAGTCTCCTCCCAGTGGCTTTTTTTGAGATTCTGCTTTGAATTTACCTTGGTCCTATTTAATATGGTCCTTTTCTTAGATTTAAATTGAATTACTTGGATTCACAGCTTCTACTGAGAAAACAAATTTATTTTAAAATATATTCTAATAAATGTCATTTTTCCCCGCCCCATAAAAGTTTATTTCAAGCAAAGGAAGAAAGAAGAAATTATAAATAGAAAGATGCTATCTGTAAAGAACAGATGCTATCTGTTGAATTTGGGTTCTCACTGAAGGGAAAATGTTATTGGTATAAACAGGGAAATTTCGGCATGTATTCAAAGTTGATGCTATTCAAAGTGAAATTGCTGAAGGATATAGAAAAAGTGGGAATAACCAAACGAACAGGGGCCCAACTCTTCCTCTAAGATAAATGGGGACAAACTTTAAGCAAACAGTATCTCAGCTTCCTTCTTGGTGAAGTCAGGGCGATAGACCAGAAGACCGCCAAGGCTCTTGTAAATCTGAATTCAAGAATTCCATATGGGATTCTGAATTACAGCAATGAAGAGAGTGTAGTCTGGAATGTTACAGAACACGAGAGTAACAAATAAGCTAGTCACAGGCATGATTGCATCAGAAAGCTGATCCTCTTTCCTTCGATTCCTAAGGAGCGATCTTCAAGAGTGCCCAGTCTTAGGCAAGCTCTCTTCTGACCCGCTGCAACTTTGTTTTACTCCGTCAAACTCAGGAGTCTATTAAATGTTTAACCAGTTAGTCTCATCGACTAACTGCCATAAAAATATCGAAGTAGGTTTAACACATTACTCTCCTGGGTAACAGGGTGGCATGTTAACAGTAGCCTAGAAGAGCTAAGCAAACAGTGGCGATGTGATCCCAGGCTTCACTGCAATATTTATGTACTGGAGAAAGCAGGTTAGAGCTCAGGAACCTTCCAGGGCTCTTGACACGTTACCCAAAGAGGTGGCGGAGCAGAGCGATTAAGAATTGTGCTGCCTGAGGTTAAATCCTGGCTCTTTGGCTTATTATTTAAGCTGGAGCAAGTTTCTCAATCCCAGTTCCTTCATCTTTACAAGGGGGAAAGCATGAGTTTGTAGCTCACAGGGACATTGTAAAGCTTAAATGAGTTAATACATGTAAAACATAGCAATGTGTGGCACTCAGGAAATGCTCAATAACTCTTAGCTATTACTGTTTTATGCTGCATGCTCAGTCACCTTCTCTGTCTAACCTGCAAATAGGAGCCTAAAGCCTACAAGTGTTTTAAATTAAGCTGCTGTGAACACATCATGAAATACATGGCCATATTCTTGGCTACTTGTACCATCTGGTTGAGGAAGAAGCGATGGTACACAGTTATAAACCTGAAGTGTTGTTTCTCCCTTTTAGCGATTCAGCAGGTGACAGTGAGTAACATTGTTGACAAAGCACCTGTAATGACTTTCACAGCTGAGAGACATAAAAAAAAAATCAACTATAATAACAAAAATAGTCAATTATTACTGTCATCCTTAACCTTGTTTCTACTATATCATGGGCCCTTCACACATTTACTTTTCATGAACATCTTAAAAGATAAATCAGAAGAGTATTTCTGTTATACAGATGCTGAAACCAAGGCTTAGAGATGTCTCATAATTTCCCAGAGTCCTATAGTTACTAAATGACAGAGCCAGGGTTCACCTCAGACAGTCTGATTCCAGAGTCCCTCCACTCCTCTGTTAACCTGCTACCTGCCATGGGTCTCAATTCATAAACTGCATTGTCAACTAATAGGGATGGTCATTTAAAACAGTCATTCGATCTTTTCAAGAGGGAAAAGTCATCTTCCTTTGCAATTATACTACTTAATATCTAAGTTCCTGAGTCTACTGTTAATTCGGGAGACATGTTTGAATCCTTACAAAAACTCGCAACAGTGGAGCGATCTTCTGCCCTATATTCAAAAGCGGAGTCTTCTAAGAATTCAGAAATCACAACTTTTTTGTGATTTAGCAACCATAGGAAATATTATGGAAAGAGAACTACAGCCAAACCATCAGGTCTGGGTTACCCTGAACAAGTCATTTTTCCCCTCTGACCCTGAGTCTATTCTGTGAACTGATAGAAGACTAGAGAATCTCAAAATTTATCCAGATAGTCTGCACAGACATTGACATGCAAAATAAACTCACATATATTTTTCTCAATTGTTTCAACCTCTAGTCTTCAGATATCTTTAAATATGTTTCAAATATTGGAGGATTTTTTCATCAGACATTTAGGGATCCAAATGTACCGTCCTGCCAGTGCTCTCAAATTTAGCAGACCCCTAAGCCTAAATATTGGCTTGGTTCACATTTCATTAAAACAGCAATGCCACCTAGTGGACACAAACACATTCTATGAGTGTTGAATCTAGGTACCTATGAAGAGCCACAATAGTATAATATACTATCTTTCCTGCACCGTCCAAAACATTGACATTCATTTCACTAAAATATTAAATCCTTGACAGTATCACTGGGCAGGAAGGCATCTGTGGTATAGTGTGGTGGCTAAGAACTCTGCTTCTGGAGTCAAAGTGCCTTTGTTCAAAACCCAATTGTGCCTTTTCCCTTAAACAATTTACTTAACTTCTCTGAGTCTCAGTTGTCAACCCAGGGCAGTAACAGTCTTTATCTGTGTATGTGGATTAAATGAGTTAATATTTATGAGTTCTTAGTACAATACCTATCATGTGTAAGCACCATTATTATTAATAATATAACTGATATTTTATTGGACTATTACTTAATATCACTGGTTATTGCAGATAATATAATTACCTTTGATCGAGCTCCTACACTGTGATGAGCAATGTCCTATTTTAATCCTCATAACAATCCCATTATGCCTGTTATGTAAGTATTTGTGTATTTATTTTACTGATGGAAAAATCAAGGCTTAGAAGTTATATAACTTGTAAAAAACAAAGAACACATATGAGCCCATATCTAAGTAACATCAAAACCCATTCTTTTAACCATTATACTATATTTCCTCCCACCAATGGCAGCTCCTCACAAGCTGACTGCCATTCTCACAGCAAAACAGGTTTGGTGTTTGCTGCCTACCTGACCTCCTTCTAGGCGCTGCAAACCGGAGCTTTCAGAGTACGCACGCTGTCATTTTGACTTGATTTGATTAATGGGCATCTAAACCAATCTGGTTGGTGGCAACTTGCCATAGAAAGAAAACCCTATGCATATAAAACTGAAAATCGGATTTTGCCACATCCCAACTGGGTGAATTTGAGATTATGTCACACCAAAAAAAAATTTAACATCACCCTTGGCTACCAGGAGTCCTGATCTGCTTCCTCTGAATTCTAAGAGAATAATGAAATGTGTGCAACTAGGTCACTATGCTTCTGATATTGGGTCATCTTAAAAGCAGATCGATTTTAAAAACCAGTTTTTAGATCAGTCCATATAGAATAGATATCAAGAGTTTAAAATGTTTGATAAAAACACACATGTAAGAACCATAACACAACTGTATAAGCAACTGCATGCAGATCCCAAAAAGTCAGTTTTTGAATATTAGCAGAGTCAGGAATATTCTCCCAAAAACCAAACTTGTCTTGCTGAAAGTTCACCAACGAAACTACAAAATTCCTAGGTTAAGGCCCCTCATGATAATGTTTGATATATGGAGAAAAATGTAGAAAATCCTTTCACGCATTTTAGTGACTTTGAGACTCACGCCAATTCCTTCAGGTGAGCAGTGAAGAAACCATTTCATTGTACAGATGAAGAAATTGAGAGTCTGAAACAGTGAGTGATGTTCCTAGGATACAGAGTTAGTTAAGCCACAAAACTTAAATTCTAAGGTTAATGTTAAGTCACTGTCCTAGACTGCCAGGCATTTCTTCAAATACCTATTTTTGAAATGTGCCGTACCCTCAGGAAGAGCAGAACAAGGTTTCTGCCCTCACCATCTAGGAGATACCATGAAAATGAACAGTCATGGCAATTCACCACATCCCATAGAATGCGTTCTGGGCAGTATGCTACCACATTCTTCTGGAGGTGAGGGAGATGGCAGGTATTGATCAACCTGAGCCACATCTCTTATCAGGAATGTTTTATTCCCCTACTTTTGAAGCGAATAAAATGTGGGTAAGCAAACAGAAAACCATGAAACATTTCAGGAGTTACATTCTTGGGTTTTTCTAAAACTGTAGGAAAAATAAGCCATGAAATAAAAGAATGGCAACAAGTAAGCTGAAAATTAATATTTAGACAGCAGTATTAACTGGGTTTAGCTGGAATTTTACTTCAAGCTGGCGTGATGGATGTGTTACATCTTTAGGGATGAAATTTTGCAGTGGTTGGTGGCAAGGAGAGGAAGCTAGCTAAAAGATGCTCCGTAAACATGCAGAAAAGGAAAGTAGAACATCTTGTCTTTGCTCCACCACTAACGAGCTCAGATGAGTTGGGGAATTCTGCAGGACTAATACTCTTAATGAAAGCTCATTTAAGCTGGAAGTGATTGACAATGTATCTACAAGATCCCAGATAACAAGACAATTCAAACAGCCAAACAACACGCTTTTTTATATTTAAAAAATCCATCAAATTAGCTACAATGCTAAGGGTATACATTGCCTTTTACAAACATTGCCTTGGTTTGCTCTTCTCTTCAGTAATTTTCTCTCCAGATAAAGACAATGAAATGTGAATTAATTGATCTCTTCTTGTATAGTCTTTACTATAGACTTATTTTCATATTGCTTTTGTGTTCTATTTATAGAACCTGGAATGTTAAGCATCATAAATAAATAGAAATCTCTTTTTAAAAAATTCACCTATTACAGAAACTGAGTATTAATAGTTAAAGGAGATTACAAAGAGGTATTGGCCTAAAAGCAATCTAGTCCCTGTAATGTACTACTTCATTCTATTAAGGCTACATAAAAATACAGAAGATTTTACTAGTAGTGTTTTATTTTGCAGAATTCTATTAAAAG